TGCATTAGATATTACCACCAGCAAACAAATAATAGAATTAGTGTACGATGGATTTTTCCTTCTTCTTAATGGCGTAAACTGTTCAGACTCTCTGTGCCAAAACAAGTCTTTATTTTCTTTTACAGCACCCGCAGGATGGCAAACGGAAATTCATGTTACTGTTTCAAACTCTGACAATGCTGCTTACACCCATTGCAGTCTTCTCTATTAGCATTGGGAACTAACCAATGGCTTTTATTGGATATACTGTCTCAGAGGGAAAGAATGAAAGGGACCACCAATTGATTGTGGATACACTTGGTGCAGCCCAAAATAATGTTTCTCCAGCTCTTAATCCACGCTCAGCTGTGGATGCAATCTATGGTAGCAGCAATTATAAAAGAAGGTGAAGAGAGCACCTTACCCACTGAAATTTAAAAGGTAATCTGGGACAATGCAACTGAATTTGAAAGAGAATTCCAATCCTGGTGGTATTTAGTCATTTTTACTTATGATCCCATCAACAATAAGGCTACAGCTTTATTGTTGTATAACGATACCTGATGCTTTGGTATACACCATATACCCAATCATTGTGCCAGGATTAAATCACAATGGAGCTATACTCTATCCATTAGAACATAGACTATGGGCCCAACAAAATGGAAACAAATGGCAGACTGTTGATATTAACGCATGTGTTGTACTGGAACAAAGATTTATTTATGAGAGTAACACCATCAAAGCCCAAGACGTTTGTCTTGGCACTGAACAAAATGTTTGTCATTTTGAAATACATCCGGATGAAACCCCTGAAACTGTACTTGTATATATTGGGAAGGGATGTGTTTGTATAAGAGCCCTTTGTAATTTTGTATTACAACATTTTTGTATACAACATTACTATAGATACAAGCAATCACTCAAATATTTGCGTTTGTAACTTTACATCTTATTAATTGTTACAATCTCATTATACATTGAGTCAAGATTTATTGTCTACCACCATTGGAATGAATCTTACATTGGTGAAGAAACTACTAGAACATGATGACCTGTGTCAGCTGCTAGAATGAGTCCAAAACAATGGACACAAAACTCTAACCACTGTTCAGCATTATACAAAAGAGGTACACCATGTTTTGGAAAAGTGAAGAAAGATGGAGAACAACATTGGTGGGAAACTCTTCTTGGATGGTCACCAACAGCAATGGGAGTTTTTAATCTCATGCTTTACCCAGTTGTGATTAATGTGTCTATTGCTTATAATCATATTGTATATAAAAGTTTGGTACATGATAAAAAAAACAGCCCAGCTCCAAACCTCCAAAACATACAAGCTAATGCATAGCAAATAGCAATATTTCACTATCTACTTACTATAGACCTGTAAGCACTTAAATTACCAATATACTATTTATGGCACAGAGGCAAAAGGTGACCATACCACTACTCTGTGAAAATAAGATGAATTGAATATAGTCACGGGGTGAAGTGTGACAGTGTGCTCCACTGCCAACCTGACCATTGTCCCCCGTAGCCCTGCCCAAGCGATAACCGCCCGTGGTGGTCATAATGGGTGCATCTAGTTGTGATGGCTGCATCCAGCTCAATGTGGTTTTGGGGAGACAGATAATGAAATAGCCAAGGGCTAACTTGAGCAATGCGCCCACCTAACCACAATACTGGTACTGTGGTTGACATGCAAATATGCCTATAAGTCAATCACCTTACCCCCATAAATACTGACCAGCCCAAGAGCCCTTTGAGCTCTCCTGCACAGCAGCGGGCTGCACGCCAGGATCTCCCTCTGAGTAGGAACTCCTCTCAAGGTTACTTCTCGAGATTCAGAGATTCCTTGCAGCAACAGATCCTCGGTAAGTGACTAATAGCATGCTAAACTTTCTTAGCTAAGTGATATATGGGATTGATTGCACATACATAATCCTTCAGACATAAACTGTTGGCCAAATCTGGGACTAGGAGTGGATCCAGCCACACCCAGACTCCTCTCTGAGAAAGAGTTTAGAAAACAAGGGGGTCCTTCCTGAACCTTGACTCAACGGGAAGGTCTCCCTGACAGTTCTGTCTGACCCTGTCCTCTATGCAGTAAATAACCAAGTTTGCCTTGCCATCAAATCTTGCTAAAACACTGTCACATTTACTATCAAACATTGTTAAATCCCTGTTTTATATCAATAACTGTATCACTGCTTCTCTCTATAAGTGAAGTGCATCACTCCATCTGCGACGTGAAGGAGCTGCTTGCACAGGTGCTGCACAGGTTGCTGCACAAAGGAGCTCCCAGCATTGGCTCTGGGAGCATCAACATGGTTTAGGCACCAGTCATCCAAGGGCTGGGCAAGAGAGAGTCAGTAAACAGTGGTGCCAACACCCCAAGTAAAATAGGACTGGATTAAAACAAGTCAACTAGCATATTAAGTGGCACTTTGGCATCTGTAGCCCTTCTCCCCGCAAAGCTGGGCTTTGCTTGTAGAGGTAAAGAAGCAATGCTTTCAGAAGGTTGTTTTGGGTCCCCTCATTCCTCCGACTGCAGACTACTGGGGAGAATAAACTGCAGGGGCAGAGAAGAGCAGAGCGGCTGGGAAAGGCAACACTGCAGTCCCACCATGGGAGCACAAGCCCTCCAGGAAAGGTGAAATCGTGGGGCCTGAGGGGGACCTCAGAAAAGACAAAGAGAGGGCGCAGGCACAAGTTCAGCTAATGTGGTAACCACAGCAGCTGGGTAATAACCAGCTCAGTGTTATTTGCCTTGCTCCAACTACAAGTGGGTGGAAATCCCCACTCCACTCTTCATTATCAGCTTCTCCTTCCGTGAGATTTCCAAGACGTAGTGTTAAAATATCAGTCTTCTTAAGCAAATATGCCAGGTCCACGAGGCACTCCTTGCCCAGGTATTAAATAACAAAGGTAAACCTGGAGGAGCAGCGTGCCGCTCATTCCATCGCAGCCAGCCTTGTGCATCGGCCCCATCTTGTGAAGATGCTGTCAGAGGCGGGACGAGATCCTGTGCATCCACACCATCGAAATGGGGCTTGCAAAGAAGGGCATTGGCGGAACAAGTCAGTCCCACCACTGACAAAATTGTGCCAAACAAGCCCTCCTGTGCTTTGCTTTCTGCCCCCTACACACTCTTTGGAGACTGACCGCAGCCTGCAAAGACACAAACCAGACTCCACCACCCACAGCAGGTGATACTTTTCCCCCTTGCATATTTTTGACATGTGTGGTGGCAGCAAAAGGGTTGTGAGTGTGCAGAAACGTGGCTGGCGAGCAAAGGGAGGGAGAGGTCTCTTGAGGGCAGGCGAGGAGCTTAGCGGATGGAGGCAAGGGGCTCCAAGACTGTCTGACTTGGGCAACTGCAGGAAAAGAACCCCTTGCTAAGGTGACACCAGTATCCTCAGCATTGGTGTCTCTCCCCAGGTGGCAAACACAGTTTTGGTGATTGGGAACACCTGGCTCATTACAGTCCCTCTACTCGCAAGCAGGCGTATGCCAGAAACCTCTCGCCCTCACAGCAGAGAGAAATGTTGAGACAAAGGGTTGTGTGAATCATTTCAGAGAGATATGTTGGGCTCATTAAAAGCTATTATGAAAGAAAAAAAGAGCTGAACCAACAAATCATCCTTTGTTTGGTTTCTTTTTTGCTGTCAAGCAATATCGGCAGAGCACACTGTCACAGGAGAATCCACCCAAGCAGGGGCAGATAAGCCACCATTGCGGACACTCAGGAGAGTGCTAGCCCAGGCAGTAGGGCTGCAAGCCCCTCTGTCCCAAGTACCTGAGGGTCAGTCCCAGCCTCTTTTCTTGAGCAATAGGGACATAACCCAGGATGCCGGGACAGGACTGGAGCAAACAACTCCAGAACAGCTGGATTGCTGGGTCTTTAGCTCAGCGCTCACCATGGCTCCTTCCAGGAATAGGGTGTGAAATATCAACTGTAGGTGGAGAGACGCCCAGAGAAAAACAAGATGTTTTTTCTCCCTTTGGAAATCCGGGAAATGCCACTCCCAAGAACATACTTGCCACCACGCCAATGTCTATAGTGCAACAGGTTCTGTTTACATGAGAAAAAAATGCTGTTAAGTTTCACAAAACCACGGCACAATACAATTCATCACAGTGTCAGATTACCACTGAACGGAAGGTAGCTTCCCTATATATTAGACTTCCCCAAACCTCAGTTCTGTGCCAGAAGCTGAGCTGTGGACAAGTAAGATACCACCACTCAGGGTAGGAGCTCTTCTCATTCCTTTCGGCAATACCCTCTCCTTGGCAGCCCAGGGGCTGCAGCTTTTTGCTGTGTGAGATTTCTGCTTCAATAAGTATATCGAGATTTGTCCTGTAGTTCTGAATTTAGGTCACCTAAATTTAGATGGCTCTCAACCATACATGAGCCTATCTCCCTAGGCTTCCCTCACAGACCATGAGGGAAAATGCGTGCTCCTAGAGTACAACTCACCCTAAAGTAGATAGCCGCAATGATTTAGACAGCTTGCATCTTGGAAGTGCCAATTTCTGAGTATAAAGAAGGTCTCAGAAGATTCAGGGAAAAGCTGTGCAGGTGCAGTGAAGGCGGTTTATATACAGAATAAGGGCAGGGAATAAGGGCATTCATGGTGGGAGCGCATCAGCACAGGGCACTGAACTTTACTGATTTCTTTTTTTCTGAATTAAATATTGGGGTTTGAGATTTGAAAGGAAGTCACCAAGACGTCGTAGAAGACACAGGTTTGAAACACCAGCAGAAATTAGAGGTTACAAGTCTTTTGTGAACAGCTGCAGCCTGGTTTGTGCGGGGCAGCAGAGGTGCCATTGGGGTCTCTTATAAAAAAAGATGCGACTCCATTTGTGTATCGCTTTGCCAACCCACCCAAGAGAAGTACCCCAGCAGCTCAGAAAGAGTTTCTTTGGGCTTATTTGGTGGGTAGTGAGATATATTCATGTCTTCGTGCATGCCAGTGCTGACTGATCAATTTTCCAGGCTGTTCTGCGTGCTCATGAAGAACCACCCCATGTACCCGATGCTTGTGCTGCTGGGCCTCGCTGCCCTCCTGGGTAAGTCCGGTGTCCCTCGCTGCCTTGCCCCAAGCAGCCAGGGACAGATGCCCCGTAGCCAGGAAGCAGAAGACATTGATGCACATCCTCACCCCATCCCAAAAATCTCAGTTGCCACTAGACTCTACTGGAGGAGAGAGCACTTGGGTTCTCTTGCGAGTCTTGCAGAAGGAGGGGTGACCTTTGAGCGACGGGTGGGCTCAGAGTAGTGGATGCAGGGCAGGACCTTCCCTCCTCTCCATCAGAAGAAGCGGCAGAGGAAGCCCCACGTGGCCCCTGCACCCCGCAGCCTGTCCTTTCTGGGTTGCAGACTCCCCTTGGGTTTTCCCTGCAGTCACAAAAGGTTTTTATTGCTTGAGCCTTTCTGTATTGCCTCTGCAGGTGCCTCCCAGGGCCGCACGGATTGCTACGGCAGTGTAAACAGAATTAAAACCCCTGGGGCTTCATGCAAAACTGCAAAGCCAGAGGGTTTAAGCTACTGCGGTGAGTATCCCTCTTCTGTCAGACAGCTCCATTTCTCCGTGGCACAGTAATCCCAAATCCTTCACATTTCCAAAGTGCTGAACACACGCTCGCTGCTGAGCCTCCATAATATCCCTATAGGTGAAGCAAACAAAATTTGGCTGTAACTCTGTCTGTATTAGAAGGAGAGCGGCGAGAGACAATTCTGGGGTTTAAGGGCTACTAAGAAAATAACTTTGATTTTAATTACAGGAGTTAGGGCTTCAGAAAAGATTGCTGAACGGGACCTAAAAGCTATGAATCGATATAAAACACTCATTAAGAAAGTTGGTGAAAAATTGTGTGTTGAACCAGCCCTGATCGCTGGCATCATCTCCCGGGAATCTCATGCCGGCACAGTACTGAAGAATGGCTGGGGTGACAATGGAAACGGATTTGGTTTAATGCAGGTATTTGCTGATACTCCACTAAAACATGATAAAAAACAGCATATAAATAAAAGTAAGCCCCCTAAATATATCATCAATTACAGCAGGGAAATGACTTCTTTTTGTTTTGATATTTCTAGGTTGACAAAAACTCACATAAACCTGTGGGACAATGGAACAGCGAAACTCATCTTATGCAGGGCACAAAAATACTTATCACGATGATAAAGACAATACAGGGGAAGTTCCCACGCTGGACAAAGGATCAACAGCTGAAAGGTAAGGTACAGGCCACAGGTTTTGTCCAGGAGAGAAAAAAAATCTTTGGGACAAGAACATTCTGACTTAGTTCTCGTGTTCCCCAAAAACCGCATTTCTAACAGGCTGTCACTTATCTTTTCACCCCTCTTTTATTTCACCAGCAAAAGACAAGCTTTGTCAATTCTGTGTTGTTTCTGCCTTTCCTTAGCACAGCAGCCTTGCTGAATTTCCACCACCACGTGGCAAATATTGATACACCTGAAATCTAGTCTATGTGAGAGCTGAGCTCTCCTTACCTGACCATGAGGAATCTCCTACAGCCGTATAGGTTAACAAACAGCTCTGTGTTTTACTTGAATGGGGCCAGCAGTTCACTCCATATCTCTGTTGACGAAGGAGTGGAGGTGTTTGCTCACAGGGAATCGCAAAACTGTGCCACACCACGTGGAAAAGCTGCCTGCTTCAAAGCGGGCTGCGCCCCATGACCCCCCTTGGACCACTGGGGTGCCACGGCGGGCTCGTTTCCCAGCCTACTCAGATACCTCTGCTTTTCAACACGCTGTACGGAGTAGCATATACGCATCTGTGAGACAAAGATAATGCAGTGCACGAATGTGTTTTAACTCTCTTTTGAGAGCAGTAATTTTCAAGGATGCGTGAGAAGTTACAAGGATGTTGGATGGGATGTGATGTGATGTGATGGGATGGGATCCCATTCTATTCTATTGTGTTCTGAACAAGCTCGCTGTAAATGAAGGGTTTGTGCTGGGCCAGGTAAATGGAATGAGTTGATCAAGCTGCAAATATCTGTGAACACAAAACCTGAGGTATCTTTCCAATGTTTTGGTGGATTCGGGAATAACTGTAAGCTGCTTGCAGAGCCCCACTTCAGTCAGAGAAGCTCCAATAATGCTACCTACTCCCCTTCCAAAGTCCCCATAAGTGAAAGCTTTCAAAACCAGTAAAAGCAGAACACATCAGGCTGGAGTTTTCCCTATTTCTTTTAAGTCTGTATGACTTCTTTTGGTATTTTATTTCAGGTGGGGTTTCTGCCTACAACGCTGGTCCTAGAAACGTCCAAAGCTATGACAGAATGGACATCGGCACCACCCACGACGACTACTCCAACGACGTGGTTGCACGAGCCCAGTATTACAAGAAACACGGATATTAGACTCAGGAATCTCTACTGAGTAACTTCCTTACCATCACCTGCATGACTCCCCTGAGGGAACCAAGACTCAGAGCAGCTGTACCCTGCAAAGCCATACAGATGCAAATGTACAGGAATGATTTACACGAATAAGAATTTGCAGACTAATGCCATGAGTTTTTAAAACAATATTCAGTAAGACACCAGTCAGGTAGTTTCTTTACAAGCAATAAAGTTTGGATTTTACAAAAGGGGTATTGCCAAATTCTTAATAATTTGTTCTGCTATTTCTCTGAGTTATGAGGACTATCTTGTTTTGCTATTGATAATCTGCTGCCTTCCAGATCTTAAAACACAATTCTGCCAAAATCTGTCATTCTCTTAAGAAATCAAAAGGCAAAATACTTCCTTGGGTATTAGCTTCATGATTTATTTTTTCAGAGCTGCTCAATATTTACGTTATACTGTGGAGTAGTCATTTTTTTCTGAATGCTAATTTTTCATATAAATGCATAGAATAGAGATGGATGTTTTCAGTCGTACAGAAACAAGCAAAGATAAATTGAATAAAAATGTTATTAGCAAACGAAGCAGGACTTCAATGTACCCATATTGTTATGTGTGTTAGCAAAGTTTGGATAAGCGTGATGTTAATTTTAGGCAGATAGATAAACTGAGAAGGGAACAGGATGAAACACATGTTTGCTCCTCATAAATTTGTTTTCCCTCTCTGCTGCTTGTAGAATAGCAACACTCTGAAAAACAGCAGTCTTTGAGTTTGGCATATTTTGGTTCTCCTATTCCTCCTAGACCTGGAACGGAACTATTTTGGGACTGGAAGAGTGGAAAGGCAAGGAAAGGAGAGGGGTAGATGCCTGCAGAACTGAGTGACACTCATTTTCCACAGCCAAAGTAAGAGTTGGTTTTGGTCTGGCAGCAAGCAGTGCAAGCCATGCCTGTCCCACCAGCATTCTGTTTGCATGCTGAGGGGGCTTCCTTTATTCTTCCATGATGAACACACCTTCTGGGACTGGGAATAACTGTATGTCTAAATAACTAGAAAAAACACTGTCTGCAAGTGTCTTAAATGGACAGGAAAATGCAATCCAAACCCACCAACAGTGCACAGCGTTACGATACACATCCTCCCAGAAGCAATCAGAGAGCACGCTTGAAAACATCCAGCATGGATTCAAACAGGGTAAATAGTGCCTGGCCAACCTGTTTGCCTCCTGTGAGGAGATGACTGGCTTTATGGAAAAGGGGAGAGGAGCGGATATGATATACCTTCACCTAGCAGGGTCTTTGTCCCAGGCTGCTATAGTATCCTTATAGCTAGACTGGTGAGATATTAACTGGGTAGGCAGGTAGAAAATTGGCTAGAAATTTGCCCGGCTCAAAGCACAGTGGTCAGTGTCACAGGGTTCAGCTGGTGTCCAGTTGCTAGTGGCATCCCCCTGGGACAGATCCTGCAGCCAGTACTGCTTCGAATCTTTAGCAGCAATTCAGTACTAGGAACACAGAGCGCTCCCAGCAAGTTCACAGATGATACCAAATGGTGGGTCCTGAAGAGGCTGGAGAAACGGGCTGATGGTAACACCATGATGACCAATTAAGACAAAGATAAAGCCCTACACCTGGGACTGAATAATCCCATGCATCAGTATGGGCTGGGAGGCAACTGTCTAGAAAGTAAGCTGTGGAAAAAGGGGAGCTGGGGGTCCTGGCGGATATCATGGGCCCTCAAGGAGATGTAGACTAAAAGCACCCTGAGCTGCATTAACAAAATTCTAGCCAGCAGGGAGGGGAGTGATCATTTCCTTCTCTTTTGTGCTTGTGAGACCACACCTAGAGCACTGTATCCGGTTCTGGGCTTCCTGATACAAAAGGGACATTGACACGACGGAGCGAGTACAGCACAGGCCACCAAGCCGGTCAAGGGCTGTAGCACAGGACACGCAAGGAGAGGCTGAGGAAGCTGGTTCCTCTCAGCCTGGAGAAGAGTCAGCTTTGGGGTGACCATGCTGTCTGGGCTCTGACTGCATTGTCAGGCTCTGCAGCCTCTTCTCCCTCTCTCCCAAGGCTCTGGCTGCCTGCATTGAAGGTCAGCTCTGATATTGCACTAGGACAAGCCTCATCTGCTCTCCACTCCCATGCACCTTCTGTCTGCTGGCTCAGGAGCTGCATTTGAGCTCACAACCTTGCCCTGGGTCCTCACCTGAGCTGCACTGGAAGTCAGCCTGCACCTGGCTTTGTAACCTACTGATCCTGATTTTGCCTGGCTGACTTTCCTTGTTGGCTTGCTCTTGAACCTGTCTTGAAACTACGGACTTGTCCTCAACTTAGAAAGACCTTGTTTGCCATCACCACAGCCCACGTGGTGCTGTGAACAGTCTGCATAGGAAGGTAGGCTGGGAGGTGCCTGTCTCATTGCCACCCTGGAGAAGTGGCTGACAGCATACGCTTGGAAACCTAGGTGATTCGCTTGATTTTTTTTTAAATGCAGGCTATAGAAATCACCCAGAGGTAATAAATGCTGAACACTATTCGACTCTTAGATGGCCCATTAGTCCTGCGGATTGACTCTGATCAACCACTTCTGCAGATGCCTCATGCCACTTGTTCCTGGGACCAGCACAGAGTGATGTCCCTGTCCCGGGGCTCACCAACCCATGGGCTCCATTAGCTGGAGGGCATCTTGCTGACACTTCAGCTACAGCTGCTATGAAATTACTTGTGTTCAACATACATGTTTTAAAGCTACTTTCTCTTGTCTTACCTTGTACCAAATTGCTTAGTAGTACATCTGAAGCCAACTTCTTAGCACTGGCAATCTCCATACTAACCCCCACTGAGCCCAATGTCAGGTGAGGTCAATGTCACCGGTCAATGATGTGACAGCCAATGTCAGGTGAGGTAAGGGCCATTGTGCATTTAAATACATTTAAACATGAGCATTTTTGTATTTTCTACCTCCTGGCAGTTGATGTAACATAGTTTTCCGGTAGGCATATGATAAATACATGTCAAAAAACAACCTGTCTTTTTGTTTCTTATTCAGAAAAAAGCCTCCAAAGCTTTGTAATTTGCCTTACCAAAGATATAACTGGCTTAATATGTATCTTCACAAGGTCCTTCTTACAAACACAGGGAGCTGGCTGCACACCTTGTGACAAGCTCAGTATTGTTTATTCACCAAACCTAAAAACTCACATTGTTACAGTGTTTCATGAAAGGCAGCTGCTTGGTGTGACAAGCTCAGTATTGTTTGTTCACCAAACCTAAAAACTCACATTGTTACAGTGTTTCATGAAAGGCAGCTGCTTGGCAGGATGGGGCAAGATAGCCAACATCTGCTAAGCAAGCAAGGCCAAGCTGCAAGGTCGAGTTATGCTAACATCATAAATTGTGAAAAGACTTGGGAGGAAGGGAAGGGGGGAGGCTCAGGAAGACGAGGAGTATGTGATATGAGGAAGACATGGAGCCTTCATCCCTGCGACCACCAAAAAGCAAAGGAAGAAAGAGGACGACCCCCTAGCAACAAACCGCGCAGACGCACAGTACACCACTAAGAGAAACGCTTATACCGGAAGTGGAAGAGTATAAAACCAAAGACTTTTGTAACCTAAGTGCGCGCCGTCGGCGGAGTGAGACTCCCGGGCCGCCCAGCGCTGTTTTGCTTGCTGCCGCTTGCTAATAAATCCTTCAAATTTAATTGGCTCTGTCTCCTCGCCTCACTTTGTGAGACTAACTTATAACAATTTTGGTGCCGTGACTCGGATAGAGGCAATCTGGTGAGAAGCCCCATACGGGGGGGCGCCCCGCTGAAATTCAGCGGCCCTGGCTGGGAGCTATCGCATCACATCCTCTACCGACGAACCCTAAATTCGGCAACAAGCAAAAGAAAGCCGGCAAACCCTGTAATCTTTGTGCACGAAGCTCCGAACGAAGACGCAGGGACGCGTGAGTATAGGCCGGTTATCCGTTCGGTTTGGGTTGGGTATCCTGGAGTGCGACAGTGTGAGACGTCCACCGGACTTAGTAGTCCATCAGACGAAGCGAGTGTGGACCCCTTAGTAGTGCGGTTCCCATCTCCCGCGAGGGACTGGGCCACGAATAGGGGGAACGTGTGTGTGTGAGAAGGCACTCCGGAAGATGGGACAGAAGAAAAGCAAGCCTTCTGATCCCATGGGTGGATTGGGACCTCATGTGAGACTTCCCCAGATACCACCAGGCAGTTCGTTAGGTTTAATAATTAAATATTGGGATGATTACCCCTCTAGGCGGGGTAAGGACAAAGTAAAATTAATTCATTATTGTATGGAAGTTGGGGGGGGGACAAATAAGAGGAGACCCCCTTTATTGGCCTGTATTCGGTTCCTTCGAGAATTGGGTTTGTCAAGCTTTGAATATTTATGTAAATTCAAAAGAACCTTTTAGTTTAGAGGAGAGTGCATATGCTCATTTGTAGATTGGTTCAGAGACGAGAGTAAATTTATATCCACTAAAAGAAAACAAGGAAGAGAGTAAGAGGAGGAGGAGACCGAATGATGAAGAGGGA